GCATGGTCTCAAACTCTCAACCATCTCTCCAGCCCCTAATTGTTTTCTTCTAAATTAATAATGTAGTAAGTCCTCGTAGTAATACCCATTTGTGCATGTGTGTGCAGGGCCATGCAATGGATAGCTTACCAGAAGACACATCCCCAAAGAAAAATAATTCTTCCTTTTCCCTGAAGTGATCAATTGCTAATAGCTTCTCAGCAATGGTGAGGCTTCAACCCATGGTGAGTCCCTAACCCATCCCTGCCGGAATTTTGACTGACTTGATCTCCGGCATAGTCTGTGCAAGCAACTACAGCTATTCATGACTCTGAAGTTGAGAATTTAATATTTCAGAACTCTCCTCCCTATCCATAGGCTCTTAGCTTATTTTGCTCCCTCTCTCCTAATGTTCTTTAATTCATGAGTAGGTGGGCGTGGTTAATACAGAAGACTGCCTAAGTCTGAGCACTCAGTCACTTAGTCTCAGTGCTGAGACCAGTCAGTCATATCTTCCAATGATGTTCTTATGCCTCTAACCAGTATAATTTTAAATTCATTCATACATGATAAGGAGGGGCAAATCTTTCTCCTCATATTGCTGAATGATTTTAAGAATAAAAGGTTATTAGAGGCAGTCATCAGACATGTTAAATGAAATGAACTGTTTTCTGAAACCTCAATTTGATACTTCATCCTAAAAACTATATTTCCATGTCTGCCACGTAAGTGGAGTTTTATATGATGTCTGCTTATGAGGAAATCCCGAATAGAGAAGGAAAAATGGCAACGACAACAAAAATCACTAATATAACATGGGTGAAAGACTCAAATGACTCTTCTCATTTATATCATATATCGTTGCCCTAGACGACAGTAAGTGTGATGGACAGGAGAGCAGTGTTGGTGATGTCATCCCAGTGATACAGATAAGCTCCAGCTTGAAGATGGTTGGCCTGGGCATATTCTTTTATTATCTATAGTGACTTTCAGTGGGCTACCATGTGTCTAAAAGTAAAGACCACACAGAACTCATCCACAAAGAAGTTTGAAAGTTTTGAATCTAGGTCCTAAGCAGATAATGAGGCTGAACAGTTTTAAATATCTGTCTTATGCTTTAATTTATTTTATGTTTTTCTGCTTTAAAATGCCCCATTATTTGCAATTTCACTACTGACTAAGTTTAATGAGAAAAATTTTTAACTGTCAAGAACAAAGCGTCTATGTGTGGATACAGAGGTCATAGATCCTAGTAGTGAATTCTAATAGTGAACCTACTAGTATCATTTTACTAAAGCAAAATATTTTTACATGTAGTCTTAATAGGCACCCTATGTCTACAGATAAGAATAGTTCTCTTATTTTAATTTACATTTCCCTGATGACTAAGGAAGTTGAGCATTTCTTTAAGTGCTTTTCTGCAATTCAAGATTCCTCTGTTGAGAATTCTCTGTTTAGTTCTGTGCCCCATTTTTTAAATTGAGTTATTTTGTTCATTGTTGTTTGATTTCTTGTTTTCATTATGTATTTTGGATATTAGCCCCTTGTTAGTTGTGGGGTTGATGAAGATCTTTTAAAAATCAATAGACTAGTTTCATTCTACTGACAATGTACTTTGCCTTACAGATGCTTTTCAGATTCAAGAGGTGCAAATTATTAGTCGTTGATCTTAGAGATTAAGCTGTTTTTCTGTTCAGGAAGTTGTGACCTGCACCAATGAGTTTGAGGCTCTTCCCTCACTTTCCCTTCTAATAGACTTAATGTATCTGGTGTTACCTGAGATCTTTGATCCACTTGGATTTGAGTTTTGTGCATGGAGATATAGATGTTTTTGCATTTTTCTACATGTAGACAGCCAATTAGACCAGCACCATTTGTTGAAGACACTGTATTTTTTCCATTGTATGGTTTTGTCTCCTTTGTCAAAAATCAAGTGACCACAGGTGTGGGGTTATTTCTGAGTATTTGATTTGATTCCTTTGATCAACCAGCAAATTTCTATGCCAGTACCGTGCAGCTTTTATTACTATTGTTCTGTAGTATAGCTTGAAGTCAGGGACGGTGATACCTCCAGAAGTTCTTTTATTATGTAGGATTGTTTTAGTGATTCTGGGTTTTATTTTTCCATATGAAATTTAAAATTGTTCTTTCATGGTCTGTAAAGAACTGTGTCAGATGTTGATGGGAATTGCATTGAGTCTGTAGATCATACGGATTCACCAGTATCTTCTCATCTTCAGATATCTTCTTCAATTTCTTTCTTCAGAGACTTGAAGTTCTTGTCATACAGGTCTTTCACTTGTTTGGTTAGAGTTACACGAAGATACTTTATGTTATTTGTGGTTATTGTGAAGGATGTAGTTTCCCTACATTTCTTTCTCGGTCCATTTGTCATTTGTATACAGGAGTGCTGCTGATATTTTGAATTAACCTTATATCCAACCTTTTTGATGAAGCTGTTTATCAGCTCTAAGAGTTCATAAAATTGCTTTGAGTTTCTCTCCATTTAATTTGATGTGAGCAATTGGCTTGCTGTAGATAGCCTTTATTATGTATAGATATGGGCCTAGTATCCCTGATCTCTCCAAGATTTTCATCATGAAGGGATGCTGGATTTTCTCATCAGGGAAAAGCAAATCAAAATCACTCTGAGATTCTATCTCATACAAGTCAGAATGGTTAAGATCAAAGTCTCAAGTGACAACACATGGGGGCAAGGATGTGAAGAAAGGGGAACACTCCTCCATTGCTGGTGGGAGTGTAAACTTGTACAAACACTTTGGAAATCAGTCTGGCACTTTCTTAGGAAATTGGGAATAACTTTAACCTTAAGACCTAGCTATACCTCTTCTAGGTATACCCAAAAGTCTCATTACCATAAAACAAGGACACTTGCCCAACTATGTTCATAGCAACTTTATTTGTAATAGCCATAATCTAGTAATTGAAAGACAACCTAGATGTCCCTCACCCTAAGAACAGCTAAAGAAAGCATGGCACATTTACACAAAGAAATACTGCTCAGGTATTTAAAACAAAGAAATAATGAAATTTGAAGACAAATGGATGGAACTAGAAAAGATCATCCTAAGTGAGGGAACCCAGACTCAGAAATATTCACATTGTATGTACTCACTTATAAGTGGATTTTAATCATATGGTACAAGATAAGCATAGTACTAGGCACAGACTCAAAGAAGATAAGAAACAAGAAGGAACCAAGCGAGGATGTGTAAATCTCATTCAGAAGGGGAGACAGAGCTGAAGAGAGGGAGCAAGGTAGGAGAGGGGCCACAGAGAGTTAAAATAGTGGAGATCAGACCCAAAGAAAGCAAAGATAAGAGGATAGAAGACTTGTGGAGAAAAGAGAAACTCAGGGTGGAGACATCTCTGTGAAAAACTGGAGACCTAAGTCAGGGTAGGTTCCAGGGAGGATATGAAAGAGTTTTAAGTAAAGACTCCTAGTAACAGAGACCATAGAGACTGGAGAGGAACCCTCTAATTAGACTAGTCTTCTAGTAAAGGGAGGGGAACACCAACCCACCAACAAAAACTTCTACCAAAAATTTACTCTGCCTATGGCATGGGCAGAAATAAAGATAAAGCAAATAGAGCAGAGATTGAGGGAATGCCCAAACAGTGCCTGGCCCAACCAAAGAGCCACCTTATTGGAGAGTGCCAACCCCTGACACTATGGAAGATACTCTGCTAAGCTTGCAGACAGGAGCCTGTCAGAGTTGTTCTCTGAGAGGCTCTACCCAGAAGCACCTCAAAACAGATGCTAAGACTCACAGCCAAACATTGGTGAATACTTAAGAAGTCTTGGAGAATAGTGGGAGGGAAGAGAAAAGGATCCAGAAGTGACAGGAGCTCCACAAGAAAAACAACAGAGCCAACTAACCAGGGCCCAGAAGGGTTTGCTGAGAATGAAGCATCAACCAAGTACCATGCATGAATTGGACCTAGCCCCCTAACAAAAATGTAGCAGATGGAAAGCTTAGGTTTCAAGTGGGTACTCTAGTAAGAGTAGCAGGGACTTCATTGGGCATGAACTCACTTGCTAGCTTTCAGGTAACTTTCTCCTAGAGGGACTGCCTTGACAGACCACAGGGGAAGAGGATATGTTCAGTCCTGATGCCACTTGATGAGCAGAAGTGGATGGGAAAGGGAGTTCCCCTTTTCTTCAAAAAAGGGGAAGGGAAAACAAAGGGGTTGGGACTGGTAGGGGAGGAGGAAAGGGTCTACAAGGATGTAAAGTGAATAAAATAAAAAAATGAGAGAGAGAAAAAAGAATAGTTCTCTCAACAAAGAAGCTTTATTTTGTAGCAGATAGACAATACTACAGAGACTCACAATGGGTAAAAAAAAAAAAAAGAAAAAAAAACCTCATAGAATAAGTCATCATGGGGTGCCTAGCTCCATTTGGTACATCAGTAATGCTTCCCTTATACTCAAGGAACATCACAGAAGAGGGCAGGAGAAATAATGTCAGAGCCAGAGGTAAAGATGCCCACTGAGCATTACTGTCTTCCAGAGATGACAGGAACGCTGTACCCTTATGAGGTTTTATAACCTCAACCTAAACAAGATCTGAACGATGAAACCAGTGAACATGACAGTGCAATCGATGGATGCTGAGAGGAAGAGCCAGTTTTCCTTGGTCATAAAGCTCATGATATATCTTCAGTTCCAAGTGGTCAAACGTAAACATGTGGACATAATAACAAGACTAAATGTTGTCAGTAGGTATGTGTTTGTGTGTGCGTGTATGTGTGTGAGTGTGTAACAATAAGAATTAAATATGAAGATGCTATGAATTTGAGACAAGGGATTAGTGTAGGAGGAGTTGTTGAGGGGAGATAGAGTGGAAATGATGTAAACACAGTGCTCAAGTACAAAACTGTCAAAAGAAAACAATTAAAAACCGAAGTTAATAAGTTTTGCTGTATAATTTTCCTCTTTCTGCTACGTATTGTTCTAAATTAGTTATTAATGGTAACTTATTTGTCTTTTTTTTTAAGAACCAGGCAAATCTCCTGAAACCAAACAAACGACTGCAAAAGTCACCACACAAGGTAGGTAGTGGGCTCCTTATATATAGGACTTTTTTTTTTCTTTTGTAAGAACATAGCATTTTATTAACAAAGGAAAAGCTGTTTATTGCAGAAGGGCGCCATCTGCTGGCGACTCTTCAGCAAGAAACAAATGGTGGCAAATATTCCTTTTTAAAATTGAAAATAAGGTTTTGGTTTTTTTTATAATATATTCTGATTATGATTCCCAATCCCTAAGACTCTCCCCAGATCTTCCCCACATCTTCATCCACCCAAATCCACATCCTTTCTTGGTCTCTCTCATTAGAAAGCAAACAGGCATCTAAAAATTGTGATAAAGTAAAAACAAAAGTATGAGTGGAACTAAACAAACAAATGAAAAACAGTAAGCCAAATAAAAAGCAAAGGAAACACATATAGATACAGATTGGTACACATAAAAATCCACCCTAAATGCAAAATCAGAAACCGTAATATATAAGTAAAAGACATGTTAGGAAAAAGAAATAAAAATACCTAGCCAGAGCATTGCAAGACAAAACACCTTCAAAGATGTTGGAGGTTATTTTGTGTTGGACGCCTGCTGCAGGGGATGGGACCAGGCCCTAAGAACGGCTGGTATACTTAATGAGACCCTGTAAAAGAAAAACAAACTTTTTTTTTTTTTTGGTTCAGTCCAGTTTAGGCTCTATGCATGCTGTCAGTCTCTGTGACTTCATATGTTCTGTGTTTCGTTGTTTTCCACCCCTTCTGGCTCTTGCAAGCTTTCTACCTCCTCTTCTGCAGGGTTCTCTGAGCTGTGCGGGGCTGAGAATTATTAGAGACATCACATTTAGGACAGTGCTTCCAAAATCTCTCACCTTTTGCACCTTGCCCAGCTGTAGGTCTCTGTACTTAATCCATCTTCTGCAAGAGTAAGATTCTCTAATGGCGGCTGAGAAAGTCATTCATGAGTACAGCAGTAAGTTGTGAGAAGCTGTTTTGTTGTTACGTTCCTTCAGCAAAACAGCTTCTTGGCTACCCAAGCACTGTCAGGGATAGGTTCCATCTCATGGGATGGGCCGCCAAGCTCTGTGCCACCATTGCAACAGACTATCACGTAGAAAGGACACAATTGTTGACTGAAGGGTTTGTAGCTGGTTTGGTGTTGACTTTTCTACTTTGTGAGCTTGTAGAATATTTTCTGTTACCATGAACACTAGTCATTAGATCAAGCATTTCCTTGGCCATTTGAATAGTTGCGTTGATAATGATGCTGAATTTACAGACCTGAAAAATCAGTCAGTACACTGACTCCAAGCTTCATTCATGATGCTTTAATGCATATTTCTAAAAATAAACCTCAGATAAGTATTTAACAATACACAGACAAACTATTACCACAAATGTTTCTAATGGCTTCCTAAACTGGTTATAGCTTATGATTTGTTTCATATTAGAAGAGTCTATTGGAATGTCATAAAATCAGTATTGCTTTCTAAATGCCCACATTGCAAAAACTGGCTTTCAAATCTACTACAGAAATAGTTGCCTTAACTTTACGAGCCATGAAAGGAAAACAGTTCCATCACTCACTGATATCCCTAGGGATTAAAAAGTAGAAGTTGTTTACCCTCAAACCAGAAGAAGTAATTTGACGAAGCACAGATGAGAGACGTAAGTCTTCTTTCATTGTCACCTATGCAAAGTTTAAAAGATCCTTTTAGAGAAAAAACAGGGAAGATGTTCATTGGGCAGTATCTCCATTTTATCTTCTACACTGGCTTATGCAGTGTTACAGTGTTTAACAATAAGAGAGATGTATTTAGACAGTGAAATGACTGTTTCTGGGTAGAGGGGCCTCACAGCAAACTCATTAGCCGAAAACGTGTTGTGAGAAATTACTGAATGTATTACATCTGACCAACATCTTCTTTGTAAGCAATTTATGCTAGTATGGGAAAGGGCTATGGAGCCAGTTTTAAATTTTATTGCTGATTACAAGTCCAATAAAATTGTTTCTTCTTTGTGGAAGTCCTGACGGGGAATGTAATAAATTTACTTGAGATAGAAAAACAGAGTGAGTCTCTAACTTTTCATAAAGGAGTTATTATTGTGTTCATACATGTATGTTTGTGTATTTGTGTGCATGTGTATATACATGTGTCCACATGCATTATTTTTCTTATAAAATTACAAGTATTTTAGGTCCTTCTATTTTACCTGGAAGTTCTGATGCAATAGTTGAAGTACAACTTGGATCAGGAATTAAATTTACTTCAGCCTAATATTAATGGAGCTGAAACAGAAGGGTTGAAAAAAATTAAAAATTCACATAAAATCTCAATTCAAGACTATGGGCTCCGTGGGTTTTGTTTGTTTCTTTTTTATTTTTTTTAAGTTTATTTATTTATTCACTCTACATCCCTAGTGCAGCCTCCTCCCTCCTTTCCTCCAGGTCCCGCCCTGCCTTCTCCCTGCCTCCTCCCCTCTTCTTTTTTTCCAGAAAAGGGGATCTCCCCTCCCTATATCAACCCCAGAACACCAAGTCAACTCTGAACTGAGTACATTTTCTTCCACTGAAGCCAGCCAGGGAGAAGTAATCCAAAAGAAGAAAATAGAGTCCATGTCAGAATTACTCCCCATCCTCCCACTACACCCAGCTCCACTTGTCACCCACATGAAGACCAAGCCGCCCATCAACAGGAGACCTAGGTCCAGACCTTGCAAGCTCCTTAGTTGGTGCCTCAATCTTTGTAATCTCTTGTGGTTCTGCGTTAGCTGTCTCTGTAGGTCCTTTTGTGGGGTCCCTGTCTTTTCCAGGTCCTCCGGTCCGTCCCCTCCTGCCCCACCCCCAAACTTCAGTCTCCAAGTCTCACCCCTTCCCTCCTTTAGAAGTCTCTGCCTGAGTCACACCCATATTCTCCCAGATGCCTACCCTGTCCGGTCTCCTTCCAGCTTGTCTGAGAGATCAAAAAGATGCCACGCCTCAGTTTCCCTTCTCTCTCACAGCCCTCTTACCTTCCATCTGTTCTCTGTACCTCTGATCCCCACCCTCATTTCCCTAACAGTCCATCTCCTACCCAATTCCCTCTTTTCATCCATTTCCAATGTCTATTCTATTTCCCTTTCTGGGTGACATTGGGACAGCTTCTCTTGGGCCCTCCTTGCTATTTACCTTCTTTGGGTCTGTGGATTGTAGTATGGTTGTCCTGTAATATATGTCTAATATCCGTTTATATGTGAGTACATACCATGTGTGTCTTCCTGGGTCTGGGTTACTTCACTCAGGGTATCTTTTTTAGTGCCGTCCATTTGCCTGCAGATTGTATGATTTCCTTGTTTTTAATAGTTAAGTAGTATTTCCTTGTGTAAATGTATAGCACTTTGTTTATCCATTCTTCAGCTGAGGGACATCTAGGTTGTTTCTAGTTTCTGGCTATTATGAATAAAGTTGCTGTGAACATAACTGAGCAGATGTCCTTGTGGCGTGGTGGAGCATCTTTTGGGTATATGTCCAGGAGTGGTATAGATGAGTCTGGAGGTACAACTATTCCAAAGCAAGTGAACGACCTGTATGGACTCAGTGTTTTTATACTAAACTACATTAGGCAAGGTGACATCTAAATCTTTTGTTTTCAACTAAAGTATCTATTATTGAATGACTAGTAACCTAGAGTCTCAACATTGTGTTGGAGCTCTACTCATTAGGAAAACAGTGGACAGTGTTGATTTAGCACAGCAAACTATGCAGCTTCAGACGCTATATGAGAGCATTCACAGGAATGACTGTGGCACAGCAACATAAGAAACAGTGTAGTGGGAATAATAAGCATTGCAGAAGACCCATAGATCTTTCATATAGCAGATAAATAAACTACACACAGAAACAAAGAAACAATGGATGTTTTCAGTAATACACGAGGAGAAAAGTTTATGCACAAGGGCCAATGAGGTCAGGTAGACAGAAAATGTTGAAGTAAACCAAGTGAAAAATGAACTTGTGAATGTCATACAAAGCTAAACTGTCTCCGAATGTCTACTTATGTGATTCTTGTATTTATTATTAGAAGTGGAGTATTTGTTTCTAGATATTTAGAAATGATTGATTTGATCTAACTCTAAATTTTGCAAATTCTTGAGGAAACATGTTTCAGAGGCTATCTTCTTTGTAGAATTTATAAATGGTATATTTAGTATTTTCATTCTGCAAATGAAAAATACTTAACTTCTAATTCTTCAGGATCTAAGTATTGATATTTTGTAGTGAATCATTTATATTTTTGATGGATACAGACATGGTTTGCGTTTTATGATATTCAATATAATTGAAATTTCTCAGATATAACAATGTATAAAACTTAAATGAAAGAGTTGAATTTACACTAAACATCAACTTGTCTATTGAATGTGTGCATTTTAAAAAGTCTTCATGCCCAGCACTCTATGTAGTTATAGTTATAGTCATACTGGTTTTAGCAGGTTTATTTGTTTAAGTAGTTCAAAGGTGATTATTGAATTCATGAAGACCTGGGAAGAATTTTTATGTTATGAGGTATATTCTAAGGAATGTTCAATTATTGCTTTAACACTGTTTGCTTTTCATTATTTCAGCCTCAGCTAGAAAGGATGAGAAGAAAGAAGGTATGTTTTAATGTTCTGTACACAATTCCAATGTGCCTTTTGCTCGAATAATTTACCAATACACATAACTGAATCTGACTACTCTCCGGCCCACATCCCCATTGATTCTTGGATTTATTAAGTGCATTCATTTTGCATGAAGGTGCCTTTTCTATTTCAGCCAGCCAAAAAGGATGAGCTACTATCAAAATAATTTTAGTATAGTCTTTCTAAAGATGAAGAATAAAATATTGTCTCTTCAAATTGCAGTCCATCTACTCTGTTGTAAACTCGATAAAATCTTATACAATTGTAAAACGCAGAACTCATTCTTCTATATTAAGTCCTTTCATATTGAATTATTAAAAAAACCCTGATTTTATTTTCTTTTTCTAAACTGCAAATAAATTATAGTCAATCCCTTGCATATCATGTCCATCCCTGTTTTATATAGGCATGTTATAGAGTAAAACATATCTTGTTAAAAAAAATTACACCAAATGGATTATTAAAGCCAAAATTTGATTCAAGGCTATTGCACTCGGTAAAATGTATTAGCAACAGAAAGATAGAGAACACAACCCCATAGAAATCACAAGACAGAAAGATTCTGTGTACTGTTGTGAGCCAGCCAAAACTACTGGAAGACACTGAACTATGAGTGACCATTTGTACCTCAATAGTGGGCACTTACAGGACCTAGGTTCCTCTCTTGCCATAGAGATTAAGAGAAAGTGATTCTGTGGATATTATTATTATTATTATTATTATTATTATTATTATTATTCATTATTCAAAGGAGTTTAGGAAGTTCATGTGTCAAAAGGTTGAGAATGTGTTTGCCATGACAAGAATTCTAAGGTAAAATATCTAAGAGAAAGCAGAGGTCTACAGACTCGAAGAAATCTGGTTATGGCCAGTGAAGTGTGGGAGAAGGGAAGATTGTTTTAGTTCCTAACATCCTCTTCTGAGAAATGTTTCTAATGAACTCTCATACAACATTTGCAAAAGGCTCCGTCACTGTTAATTAATCTAAGTTTATTTTCATGACAATATACATAAGAAAATACTCCTCGTGCAGGAATGATATCTCTAGTCTAGTGTTCATCTTATCAGAGGATGATAGAAGAAAGCAAGAGTTATATTTTATACTCAATTTCAGTAGAATTTTACCTGATCAAAACATCTTGAATTTCACAGTTTGCTTCATTTAAAGATAAATCTAAGAGTTAATATACATGAAAGCAAAAAACAAACAAGAAATCCTCAAGACCTTGCTTATTATTAGGGTGAATGAAGCCACAATATCATGAAAAAGACCACTATGGTTCATCATTCTGTTTCTTATGACCTTTTAATCAGTACTAAGTTCTAAGCACAGTTTTATACAAAGTAGAGCTTCAGAAATATTTTTGTTTGTTTGCTTATTTGTTTATGCTGTAGGATCTCAAAAATAAAAGCAATTTATCATTTAATTTGGGTACAGAAGTAATATTAATAATGTTTTGTGGTAGTTATACAAATAAACTTAACTGTGTGATGTTTCTGTGAGTTTATTACGATGAGTTATTTTTTATTTAAAAATTATCATTTTAACTGATTAGGACTGAAGCCAAAGTATTAGTAAAATTTTAGTATATCAAGCAATAGTCATATTATAAGTTCATTTACTTAACTAGTGTGATTGCTCCCAGACATTGCTATGTCTCTGGGACATTTTCTAGTTTTATTTTTGCCTTGCTAGCATACCTCAGAACAATTTTCTTGAGAAATTCTCCAAATCCAGTGTGTGAAACTTAGAAGAGCTTGAATTTTCCCATGGAAATAAAACACTCCTTATGGACTCTAAGACTCTGCTATAAGTTAACCAATGTTCCAATTTTTCGCCGAACCCTGACATTTAGTCTTTCAAACTCTTCTGTCTCATTGACCTCGCCTTTACTTCATCCATTTTCCCATTAATTAATTAATTAATTAATTAATTAATTAATTTATTTATTTAGTCACTTTACAGCCTAACCCCAGGTCCCTCCCTCCCCTCCTCTAAGTTCCATCCTTACACCCCACTCGCCTCACTTCCCCCTTTCTCTTTTTCTCAGAGAAGGGGAGTCCCCCAAGGGGTACCAACCCACCCTGGTATCTCAAGTTGAAGCAAGGCTAAGCACATCCTCTTCCACTGAGGCCTGACAAGGCAGCCCAGCTAGAGGAAAGCTATCCTCTGACTCTGGCCACAGAGTCAAAGACAGCCCCTACTTCCACATAAAGAACAAGCTGCACATCTGCTACATATTTGTAGGAGGTCTAGGTCCAGGGCATGCATGCTCTTTGATTGGTGGTTCAGTCTCTGTGAGCCCCTATGGGCCCAGGTTAGTTGACTCTGTAGGTCTTCTTGGGGTGTCCTTAACTACTCTGACTCCCTCATCCTTCCTCCCACTCTTCCACAGTACTCTGTGAGCTCAATCTAGAGTTTAAGTGTGGGTTTCCATCTGAGAGTCTTCTGCTGGATAAAGCCTCTCAGAAGACAGTTATATGAGACTCCTGTCTGCACTCACAGCAGAGTATCATTAATAGTGACCAAGGTTGGCTCTCTCCCATGGGGAGGGTCTCAAGTTGGGCCAGTCATTGGTTTACTATTCCCCAAATCTCTGCTCCATTTTTATTCCTATACCTTCTTGTAGGTGAGACAAAGAAGTCAGGATTGAAGGTTTTTATGGTTGGGTTGGTATCCCCTTCCCTCCACTAAACATTCTGCCTGGCTACAAGAAGCGGGAACTTCAGGCTCCATATCCTCTGCTGCTAAGAGTCTTAGCTAGGGTCACCACTGTTTGTAGACTCCCAGGAGCTCCCCCTGTCTCAGAGATGGCTCCCCCACTGATTTTTCACTCTCTCTCCTGGTCCTCCCACTTCACTCTTCTTAAAGAAAATAAAATTATAATCTTAAGCACTGTCCTCAGGAATGTGGCTGGTGCTTACATGGCTACAGTAATCTCCTATTGTATTGGGACCTTCTTAGGTTAACTAGGGTGATGACTTCTAAAAGTCAAACATTTTTATAAAGTGTTCATTGACTTCAGAGAACTCCTGAGATTGTTTCTACAGTACTCCTGGAACATATGTATATTGTTCTTCATTTTCTTTCTCATATGAATGTTTACTACTGGAAATTTCCACAAGCTAAAAGATGTCTGACTTTGAAACAGACTAAATGGCTAAGCAGATACACAAATCCAACCGTCTTCCAATTAGGCCAGATTTTAAGATTCACAGAAACATAAAATGTATACTCATTCATTTCAGTATTTTTTATCAAAATAATTAAATATGTCATAAACTATGATATCAATGCTCATTGTAACAGATTTATTATTTTTAATAATTCATAAGTAGGCTTAATATTTTCCCTGTTTTATTTTTAAAGTTATAAACATCAATTAAAACATAAATAGAAGCCATTTGTAGTCCTTAATGATTGCTAGGAAATTAAAGAAATCGTGAAATGAAAATATTTGAGACTCTAACGGAAATAAATATTCTGCTTATAGTAATTATTCATTCTAAAATATTAAAATATGTTAATTAACAAGTTTAAATCATTACCTGTCTAAAATACTAAATGACTGTACCATGACTACAGAATATTCTCTACCAATCTTGACCTGAAGGATGAACTCAGTCCTCATATGACTTGATGAGCTGGGGTGGGCAGGTAAAGGGTCTCCCCCTTTCCGAGGAACAAGAGAGGGAAATGGGGGAGGTGGGTAGGTCTCAGAGGAGAGGAGAGAGGGGCTGCGACTGGGATATAAAGTGAATAAATAAATAGACAGACAGACAGATAGATAGATAGATTCTCAAATTTACCTTCACACTTGATTTCCATAGTTGCTGTCAAGCACACCGCATGGCAAGCCCAAGACCTGATTGAATAAATCAAGGAGTCAGCCATGGGCAGTGCTTTGAGACTGAGACAACACATTAGTTTTATAGATACACAAATAGCTGAGGGTGTTGGCCCAATGTTGTATGTCTCCGACACCAAACCAAACAAGGTGAGAGATCAATGTCAGAAAACTAGTTAGGACCACTTCCAGAGAAGCCGATTCCACACTGTGGTGATAGGATTTTGCGAGCTCATACTGCCTTCCTAAGGTCCATGGTTAGGAGACTTGGGTGGAGGTGAGAAACTGTCTTCAGTCACACAGGCGAGATGAAGCAGAGTTCAGGGCAATGGTTGGATACTGGCTTCTCACAAGCCTTCCATGAGGCTAGGTTCTGAGAGGACAATGGGCACGCTGCTAAGATCAGTGAGGTAGGCATTTTAACTTGCGTAGCTAGTGCCTATGCACAAGGTTGCTGGGGACCACGGAAAGGGTACCACCCTGTACGCTCACTCCTGCTCTTCCTTTATGCAATGAATACATAACTACTCTCAATATCATGTCTAAATTACTCTGCCATGAGTATGGTATTATTATCTGAACAGAGCTTACCTTCTCCTTTTTCTTCTATAAATATCCAAGCCATTGTTTTTAGGCTCTAAATGATTTCTCCCTTCTGGAAGGTTTGATCCTCTCACTTAAGAATACTGAACAGGGACTGCTTCTGACATGAACTGATTGGCCTGCTCTTTGATCACCTCCCCCTGAGGGGGGGAGCAGCCTTACCAGGCCTCAGAGGAAGACAATGCAGCCACTCCTGATGAGACCTAACAGACTAGGATCAGAAGGAAGAAAAAGAAACCCTCCCCTACCAGTGGACTTGGGGAGGGGAGTGTGTGAAGAAGGAGGAGGAAGAGAAGGATTAGGAGGGGAGGAGGGAGGGAACTAGAAGGGGGGATACAAAGTAATTAAAGTATAATTAAAAATAAAAAAGAATACTGAACTATAATCTACTACTGAAGTCTACTGACATTTTTCTGCTATTAAATATTTCTTGCCATCTTGTCCTCCATGTGATTTATATTCATTTTTGCTTTGCTTTATTTGATTCAGCCTTTTGATTAAAAGGCCTGTATCCAATTTACTTTAAGCGCTGTGAAGATTAATCCTTTTTATTTGTTTCTCAGAGATTAAGGCTAAACCAGGGCTTTATTCTCATTGAGCAAACACTCTGCTTATAAGTTCAATTCCCATACCAATTAGCAATGTCATAATTTTGACACAATGTTCAACAAACAAATATTCTGTGAATAAATAAGTAATGTCTTAAATATAATAGCTCCAGGAACAATGTATAAGCACTTACTTTTTCTTACATCCTAGTCCAGGAATGATGGTAACAATGATGATTTTTGGGTATTAAATTTCTATGAGGATTTTGTATTTGAGAAGTCAATACTACTGATTATGTCAGCTGACTTATTTGTGTAACCACTAGATTCTAATTGTGTTGTAATATCAGATATTCCATTTAAAGTCAGCTTATTTGATGAAATTCTTGAGACTGGTATTTTAAGAATTCTTTTATATCTTCTGGAGTATAGAACTACACTCAGGACGAGCCGGGTGAAGTACATTGCTTGCCAGAATTATTCCAAGTAGACTTAAATGCATGAGAATCTCTCCTCCATTTCGGCCACTCAAGAATTACCTTTTCAAGAAGAATCTTTCTGAAACACCCTTGAAATGTCTGGTGCTACAAGTGAAGGAAGGTGTAGATTAGGCAAGAAAATGATTACTTCATGATCAGAGTTAATACATTACCACAGTGAATCCTCCCCTTTTACTGTAAGCTCCGGCCTAAGTACAAATCTGATGGACCATACCAGCTCCATTACTAATGATGATGAGTGATGGAGTGAACAGTGGAAAACATCAGTGCTTGTAGCTCTCAGGTGAGAGAGTTTCAGTAGTCCTCAGAAGATGGTCAACCAGATTAACAGATCATGTGGTCTTTAGGGATGAATGTTTACAAAATAAGCCCTGACAGTATTTTAAGCTAAAAACAAGAGAAAAAAAAAAAGGTGGGAGGGCATAATGAAATTTAATAGTACTTACATTAATGAGTAGCACTCAACAGCACTATTTGAGGGCATATGTGATCTTTTAAACATAAAGAACATACTTTATACTTCATACATTATTACCATGTATAGATATGCTTGCCTGGTGCTTTAACCAAATAATACATCTTTACAATATTTCACATTAATTTTACCATACCTATACATTTCTTAAAGCAAATATGCTTGAAAATCTTGGTTCAATAACATGTTGTGATTTTCTACAATATATTTATGGAATACTTTAGCTTTTTCAACTGAGTTTCACTTCATATTAACTTTATTATCTTAGTATCCATGATATCTAAAACAACCTATCGTTGATACATAGTGCCAGTAAGAAAAGCAGATTAAAAATGGCTATGATTTCATGCTGTACATTCTTTACCCACCTCACCACACCATCGAGTTTTCTAGGCAACACCTCTACTCACTCTCCCTCTGTGTATTAATCTCTCTATGATCTGAAGTTTAAACCCACTGTGATTCAAGAGCACCTTCTTGTGTATTCCTTTGTGAGTTCATATTTTCTCCCCTTTGGGTTTCTAGAAATGTATGTATTGAAAAGAAAACTCACTTATATGATGGCTGGATTCTTTTTCATGTTGCTTTTTTATAATGCTTTTACAGTTTACAATTCTAGAGAAATATACTGAAATGTTCTCTGCATTGGCTATATTCCCCTCATAAAAGTGTAGAGACCATTATGTGCCTTTCACAAACAGATAAAAGTTCATTGTTGTCTTCCAATTATATCATGTTCCGTGCTCTGCCATGGAAATGAAATCATGATACCACAGCATCATAGAGCTCACTGACCCTAAAATTGTGGCAGTCTATCGTTCTAGGTTCTGGTGAAGATCAGTAGCAGCCAGAAAACAGTGTAGCCACTCTCTTTAATGGTAAAAAAAAAAAGTATTGTTAATTATTATGATCCTAATTTCAGCACGAAAAATTAGTTTAGTTTACAACAAAAATAATAATAAAGAATATATTTTAAGTAAAAATGTTAACTAAGAGAAGACAGGGAACAGGACAGGAGCCTACCACAGAGGGCCTCTGAAAGACTCTACTGATGGAGGTATCAAAGCAGAAGCTGAGACTCATAGCCAAATTTTGGGCAGATGCATGGAATTTTATGAAAGAAGAGGGAGAAAGGAAGACCTGGAGGGGACAAGAGCTCCAGAAGGAGACCAATGGAGCCAAAAGATACTGGGTCCAGGGGGACCTGCAGAGAATGATATTCCAACCAAGGACCATGCATGGATATGACCTGCATGGATAAAACCCCTGCACAAATGTAGCCCATAGACTCAGTCTCCAAGTGGGTTCCCTAATAAGGGGAGCAGGGGCTGTCTCTGGCATGAGCTCAGTGCCAGGCTCTCTGATCACCTCCCCCTGGTGGGTGCAGCCTTGCAAGGCCACAGAGGAAGACAATGTAGCCAGTCCTGATGAGACCTGCTAGGCTAGGGTCAGATAGAAGTGAAGAAACATAGGGGGAGAAGAGGGTGGGATTGGGAGGAGGGAGGGGTCACAACCAGGATACAAAGTGGATAAATTTTAATAAATAATAATAATTATTATAAGAAAAAAATTTTTAATGTTAACTAAGGTGCTATATTGTAAAATAATTATGTTCAAGACCCTCTTGTCTTATTCTCAAATAATTAAAATAAATTTTGTGTACTAAATAATATAAAGTAGTAAATTTCTTTTATCTAGGCCGACGGTTCCTCTAATAAAGTTAAAATAATCATTTGTTGACCACTGATTAGCAGCACTACACAACAGTTTTAAGTATAACTTGTTAATTAAACAACAAGCAATACCAGCCCATTTATTTTTCTCAGTAGTGGAAGTAATTGAATAAATACTGTTCATGGGTTGACTATTAAGATAACAGAAATTTCTCCTCCACCACCATAGGCAGAACAAATGAAGAGCTAAAGGCTAATTTTATGAACTCTAATCCATCTTTAGAAACAGTGCAGCCAGTTCTGATGAGACCTGATAAGCTAGGGTCAGATGGAAGGAGAGGAGGACCTCCCCTATCTGAGGACTTGGAGAGGGGCACTGGAGGACATGAGGGAGGTTAGGATTGGGAGGGCATGAGGGAGGGGCCTACATCTGGGATACAAAGTGAATAAACTGTAATTGATATAAAAAATAAAAATTTAATTAAAAAAGAAGCATACCATATCTGCATTCAGTTTGACTTTCTATTACATAGTTACTAACTTCTCCAGGAAGAATTAATTACCAATGAAAATAACATGTAGATATTTTGCTTTATATACTTTATGCTTTATATGTCATAAAGGATCTCTTATAATATTCAGCTTTTGGGAAACAGTTCAGTTTATTCTTAAATTTTCTCTTTTAGAAATATTCATGCTATTGATTAAGTTAAAATATTTTTGAGGTTATGGGAATTTTATTGTTAACTATTCAGTTTTTAATTTAATCATATCTACATTATTGGTAATTTATCTTTTCATTTTCAGATTCCAAGAAAACGAAAAAAACTACAGAAGGTAAAAAAAAAAAAAAAAAAAAAAAGATCTGAAATGCTTTCAATTTAGGGACTGGGGTGTTTAGTATCCCTAGAAGTACAATCTAAATATTGAATAGAAAGGGGGAAAAGATAGAGAGAAAGAGTAAGGGAGCATGGAAAAGGGTTAGAGAGAAGAGAGAGAGACAGAGAAAGATGCCTTTGACAATATTGCCCTAAGAAATATTTGACCATGACAAAAATAGTCTGGCAGAGCACCCATTCCCCTTATTAGGGAACCCACATGGGACCTGTACCCATCAGCCCATCTTTGTAGGGAGCCCAGTCCAGTCCAGGCAAGGTCCTTGGTTTTTGCGTCAGTCTCGGCAGACCCCTCTTGGCTTTGGTTTGTTGGCTCTGTTGTTGGTCTTCTTGTGAAGCTCCTATCACTTCCAGGTCCTTTTCTCCTCCCCCCTTCTTTTCCATAAGGCTACCTATGCCTCATCCAATGTTTGGCTTTGAGTCTCAGCATCTGTTTGGAAGCATGCTGAGTGGAGCCTCTCAGAGGACTCTCTTGCCAGCTTTTCAATCAATTCCCCTTGGAGGGACTGCCTAGATGGCCACAGGGAAGGCAGACATACTCAGCTCTGATATGATTTGATCAACTGGAGTTGAGGGAAAGGGGAGCTCCTCTCTTCTGAAGAATATAGAAGGGGGATGGGAGAGGGAGGAAGGGTAGAACTGAGAGGAGGAGAGATGAGACTATAACCAGGATGTAAAGTGAATAAATAAATAAATAAATAGATAAATTTAATTTAAAAAAATAAAAATATAAAGGGTCTGGAGTTCAGGGACACTTTGTCTATCATGTGTAAAATTAGCAAATACAAAACAACACTAATAATTAAAATAAAAATAACTTAAAAATGATGATAATGATAATATATTGCTTACATTTACCTATCACGAACTTTTTCCAATTGTTTTTAAAAAGTGATTATTTTATGAGACACTGAACAGTGTTACATATCAAATACACAAAATTGATTAAATTTGTTTTCAACATAGCAACTTTAGTTAGGAATTGAAGTATACCGTCTTTATCTTGAGTGCAATCCCGACTCATTTGGCAATAGACAAACCCTCTGTCTTTTGAACACAAATATGTATAAAATGTTTACTCACCTGTGTTAAGACTACCAGTCATACATAACTCAGATCATTAAGCAGAATAATTTTAGACCCATCCACCTGCAAATGATGCTTCTGTCAATCAAGTTATAGCTCTACCCGGATAATCAGTGAAATCTCAAAGCAAGACTCACCGTGAAACTCAAACAGAGCAGAATGTGGAGACAGGTTGGGTTGACGCTAATTTATCCATTGTCTTTGTGGTGAAAGTGTCTCAAAATCTGTTGAGAGTAATGGTGCCTTGGTAATTTTTCTCTCAACAGAACAACCCAAGGGAAAAAGTAAGGAAATGCATGCAGTCTATTTGTACAAATGTGTTGTCTCTGCTACTACAGAATTGGTCTGCTGCTGCAATGATATTTCAAATTCCTGTGTTTAATACATGTGGGCTGGATTTTTTGCTTTGCTTATTTTAGGCGTTTTATTTTATTTATTGATTTCTGACATACTTGGCAATGTGTCAACTGGAGGTCAGAGTAATACAGAAACTATAGCAAGCCTTCTCACACCCCATCTCGCTCCTAAAGGTAGTTAATAGAACCTATAATTTCCTACTGTCCTGGCATTCCATTGCCACCCATGGTATAATGTTTGTGTAAGTTTAGTATTGTCTTCTAGTGACTTCTCTATTCCTAGAAAACACTCAGTGGGTTTTGTTTCCAGACTGTTATCATCTTGTAATCTACAAATATATTGACATGTTCAGATTCCGTTTTCCTAAAAGCATTATAATCTCATTGCAGAAAAAAAAAATTGCTAGGATTCCTATGGTTCTTATGGGTCACCCACAACTATTCAATGCACTATTGAAATTGCTTGCCAAACAGTTCAGTAAAGCTATAAGCCTGCAGGTCTGCGTTTTTCAAAAGTATGCTGTGCTGAACTGAGGGGTAATTTAAGAGTATTCAGTCATTAAAATTAACACACTTCTAGGGAGATAGAGATAAAATTCTATTGGCATTTAAAAATTCTGCTTTAAAAAAATACATGAACTTTAAAATTATGCATATTTGTTTGTACCCAAAGTTAGGCACTGAAACGTTCTATCATAAAACTGCTCTAAAACGTCCTAAGGAACGAAACATGAAATTGTGTTACAAAGCAGCCAGAGGGAGCAATTTATCTATAGAGCCCAATAGGCTTCTTCAGGCCTGGATTGATGAGTACATACAGATGCTCTGAGATCTGGCACAAGGACACAGAAACCACACCATAAACTCTCACACCAGCATAAACTTGGAGGCAACTGAAAATTTGGAGAATTTAGTATATTTCGTGTTGTGATCTAATCAGTGCTTACTTAGTTCTTAGAGAACACTCAGTGGCTGTTGCTTTCCTGCTCTTCTCTATTATCTTTCTTCTTGTAATCTATAAATATTTTGGCATGTTCACAGTCCAACTCCCCACAAGCATTATAAACTCATTGGAATAAAATTGATAGGAATCATTCGCAATTGTTCAATATAGTAAATTTAAAAATTCATAAAAATCATATAAAGATATATATATATATATATATATATATATATATATATATATATCTTTAAGACCTCCCCTTTATTTCAGTTTACATGACTTAAAGATTTCAGTAGATATACTGCATTTCCTTGTCAATCATCAGGGCATGGATGTATTTAATGAGTAAACATTCCTTCTCAGATTCTCAGATAGTCACTTATCACTTTTTCCCTTCTGAAAAGGGCTGTGGAACATGAATTGGGTGGTCATTGGGAAAGGAAATTATGTGCTTCAAGACAATTATTAATTACTTTGAAATTGACCTACTGTTTCAGCTTTGTCAAGTAGACTTTCTCCTTACTACTATTATTGAGTCTTCTAACTTGTTTGATTTGAATTTGTTGTATTTAAGTTTTCTGTACTCAATTATACTCATTAATCTCAGATTTTGTTTCAAATTAATGTGGTTATCATACTTAAAAGATTTTTCTACTTATAGGCTTACATTAAACTATGTTTAGAAAAACAGGCCCAGGGGTATGTTAGCATTTTATAAAATCATATAGTCCTGGTATTTTTAGTGTAAAATTTCATAATAAAAATTAAAATTAAAACTACCTGAGTAGTCAACCAAGCTCAGGGTTTGTCAGCCCCTTTAGAATTTGGATATAAATTGGTTAAATTGATTTATATTTATTAAGGTGATTTAATAATTACATACTGCAAAACCGCAATATAATGCACAGTCATAAATGTGTTTTCTTATGTAGCATTCCAAGTCATGACAAAAACCTATCTGGGTATATAATGTCCTTTGAATATGATAGGAGAGCTTTTATTTTGTTTTTGGATGTCATACATTGCTAGTGTTTGATTTTGACAAATGCTGAAATTCACTATTAGTAATTGTGTTGTCACACTTTATAAAATATAAATAAATTTAAATGTTTCAATTAATTATTCAGTTTTTAATTACACAATATGCCCAGTGTCTGGGGAAATGGCTCGGTGTTATGAACGCTTGCTGCTTGTGCAAAATACCAGGCTCTGGTTCTAAAGTAGCTTATACATTCTTTCTACTTCCAGTTTCGGGGCATCTGGTGCCCCCATTTGGTACATGACACACACAGTATGCATGCTCGCACCACGTAAAGCATGTAAATACATAAAATATAAATCAAAACTGTTGAAAGAAATATGTACAACATGCCTAGTTAATTGTCATTGTGTTCAGTATGTTGAGTTTTATCTAAGCTAAACACACTTTTATTTTTTGCCCCACAACACTTGGTCCAATTTATTTTACTTACTTTAATGCCAGAAACTGTGTCAGAGGAGAATTAAGTTGCCTAAAATGCACATGTCGGTACAGCTTTGATAAACTAAATTGTACCTGGAGAGTTTAATGTATTGGCTAGAGAAGATTCTGTGACCCTCATTCATCCTAAAATTTGGTCTATAGGATTCTTTCAATGTAAACATCTCCCTGTCTTCAGATTGCATTTCCTAGATAAAATGTTAAGAAATCTCTCTCTTGCTTTGCCTCACTGGGCCTATTTGCCATCATTGCTCGAGGATCTTCTTGTGATTAAATTGACAAGCTGTCAGGTTGAAATAGGAATAGGAACACAAACAGTAGCATTTCACATTAGATTATCGCCTGCACTTCCTACAAAAATAGGCCTCATTAACGTGTCAACGTTACCTTGAGAATGAAATCATGCAGTTTCTCATAAAATGTTGAAAAGGGGCTTTCTGAAGAAACCACCAGCTAAAGAGGAGGACAGTCTCGCAGGTGTACTGTAACAACTTTGCTTTGTTTGTTCTACCCGTCTCCTTACTTTAGCTTAGTGCTTAAACATTCTCATCAAGGTCTTTATCATCACTAAATAGGTTTCCAAGAAGAGGCCTGGAAGAGAAAGCCCATATAAAACACACCCAGATTCAGCTTTCTGCAACTTATTTTAAAGCAACTACAATAATTATAATTGGCACTTATTTTTTTGTTCAAATTTAATTCAAATTATTATTAAATGAGAGCAAGCTTAAACTTCCCCACCCTTAAGGAATCTATATTATTTTTCTGGTTTCTTCTTCTGAAAAAAAATTCCTTAGCATTCAGAATATTTCTGGAAATGTACCTCACATTGTTTTACTTTTGAAACACAAAATATTCAGCTCCAAAATACTCAGCTAGGAGAACACAAACAATGGGCCAGGCAGAAAGGGCTATCCTGGGGATGAGATATTAATCATTTTGTGACACTCACGAGTTGACGTGGTTTAGCATCAGCTATGCATGTTTGCTTGTATTAAAACAATTTGCTTAGAAAACAAAATTATAATAACATTAACAATGATAATATGTTTTAGAACAGGAAAAGAAAGAACAGCACACAGAACCAGGTAACCGTTTAATGTTATCTATTTTTCAAATTTTTTATGTTATTTAATTGGTACTTGATTACTCAGTTTTATTGGACTGTCACAGACTGTTGATCCACCCCCTTCCTTTCTTTTTTTCTTTTTTCATACAGCAAAGTCACCAAAAAAGGAACATCCAGGTGAGTGAGACGGGCATAGCTTAATTTATTTTACCAGAAGGCAAGCCCGAAATGGGCTTGTAAAGGCAGTGCCAGGTAAAGGCAGGAAATCTGACTATCTCTCTGTGTTCTGAGGTATTGACAGAATCAATATCAATTCAGTTTGAGAGAAGGGAGCTCAAATGCTGTGTCATCCCCTTGTTGCTAAACCTGTGTCTATGAACTGGCTGTATCAGCTCCACTTAGAAGTTACAATTTAGTAGCACCTGCATCTGGTTCCATGCTAGACCAACTGAATCAGAATTCGCATCTCAGTAAGATCCTCCCGCATCCATCATTTTTGCAGTGTCTGAGAAACACTGTTGGTGGGAAAACACCAGACAAAAGCTACTTATGGGAGGTTTGTTTATCTCACAGTTGAAGGGGATAGTCTCTAAGGCAAAGGAGATTTCAGCAGTAAGTTGCATCATACCCAGTTACAAAGAGAGTAATGACTGCTCATTCTAGCCTGCTTTCTCCTTTTAATCCGTCCAGGACCACAGTCCATGGACGCCCATAGATAGCGTGGGTTTTCCCACTTGAACTCATCTGATTTGGCTAATCCCTCACAGATATGGCCAGTGATTTGTCTCTATAGTTCTAAAGTCTGTGAAGGTGATGGATCAGCAACAATCACCACAGACACTGTTTTAAAGATACATTTATAATTAAAGCAAGATAAAGTAAGAATAACATTTCTTCTGTGCATGTACCTAACGTTGTTTTAGTCTTGATATACAAACTATTTGGCTCCAGCCCTATTCATAAGCTTACTTAACTTCTGTGGGCTGCTCTGGGATGTTGCTCTATATCAACATCGGAAGATTAGAAAATTGAAGTTACAACCAAATAACCAGACAAATAGATCATCAGAAACCAAAAGCACAGTATAAATGGACACAAAATCCTTTTTAAAAAGTTTTACAAAATTTAACCTGTTCAGTTAAATCATTTTAAAAGAAGTTTTCTGAAATGCTTTCACTCAATCTTGTGTCCAATACTACCTATAGGTTTTTCTTGGTGGAAATTAACCAAGTAATGTACCCAAAGCTTTTGTACACACAGAGTCTCTCTCTCCTTCCCCTTTCCCTCTGTCCTTCTCACTCCCTCTCTCCATCTCCCCATCTCTGTCTCTCTGTCTCTCTCTCATTTCCTCTCCCTGACCCCTCCCTCTATAAGCAAATAATGTACCTGAGGCTTTTGTACAGAGTTTCTCTCTCTTTTCCTCTCCCTCTCCCCCTCTCTCTCCCTCTTCCTCCCTCTCTAAGTCTCTGTCTCTCTCTATCTCTGTCTCTTTCTCCCTCATCTCTCTCTCCTCTCATCCCTCCTTCTCTGCCTGTCTCTCTGTAAGGCATATAAAAGTGTGTGTGTGTGTGTGTTGTGTGTGTGTGTGTGTGTGTGTGTGTGTGTGTGTGGTAGTTTGTGCAGGTTCTAACCTTTAGATAGTATAGGTGTGAAGATTTGTGTGTACGCAGGGGATGTGCATGTATGCTGGCAGTTATAACCTCAATTACTGTCAGCTGTTCCTATTACAGTTAATTGTATTTAAAGTCAAACAATGTTCATTTAATATTATGTCAATAGCCACATAAATACAGCTAAAGTACAGCATATCGATAAGCCCTTGCTATAACTATGCTTGAACCTACATTTCTCATTCTTTGCACAACTTTGTAATACTTCCTGAGATGAGCACAATCTGCTTAGATTTCTTTAAAATGTTTCAATAGCATCATTGGTACCTTATAATAGCTTTCAATAAGCTGTTATAATTCCCCTTTTTTTTGGGGGGGGGTTTCACATCATCAGAAGTTAAAGGATAAAGACTGGTTTTAGCTCTTTATTCTCCAAAATGCCTGTTATAATCCCAGACACACAATGGGCACTTGATAACAGTTTATTAGTTGAAGAGAAGAACACGAAATAGAATAATAATTGCTTATAAAGTTTAAAAGCTGAGTAATTTTCAGACACATAATTTGAGAGAGGAAATAACAGTATGTTTCATTATTTCACATTAACAGTCAAGCTACTGCAACTCAGAAAAGGAATGTTTTGTCTACAATATAGAGCGGAGCATTTAGGAGTGCACTCCCACAGTGAGACAATGCATACTCAAATTTATACATATACATGGAAGGATAAAATAGAGCATAATTTATTGCAACATGCAGAAGTTTACTCAAGTATTAATATGAACAATTTTAAGTGTTCTAGTGGGTCAGTATTACTGTTATGTATTATCACTAAGTACAATAGTCTAATTGCTTAGAGTTAGTGTATGTTCACCTATAGCTGTGAATATAGTACAGCATCTTACTAATACTTAGGCATTTTCATTTTGTTTTGTTTTCTTTTAAGAGACAAGATCCTTCCATTTAGCTTTGGCTGTCCTGGAGCTCACTCTGTAGACCAGGCTGGCCTCAAACTCACAACATGCTCCTGACTCTGCTTCCAGAGTCCTGGGACTAAAGGCGTACACAACTATGCATGGCTACTTAGACATTTTTCCATTAATTTATTTATTTAATCACTTTACAACTTGGCTGAAGGCATACCCTCACACCTCTTCTCCCTCTCAGAGAAGGGGAGGCCCCTCAGGGGTACCCACTGATGGGGACAATGAAATAATGATGATTAGGCATCAACAGATTTTATATGAAAGAGGTTTATTAGATGGAGATGAAGAGAGAGAGAGAAGGGAAAGCAGGACATGATGGGGGAAAAGAGAGAAGGGGCACCCAGACAAAGAAAGGAGAGAGGGCCAGAAGGCAAGAGGGCAAGAGAAGGCAAGAGGCCAAGAGCAAGAGAGAGACCACGTGGCAGATTATTCCCCTTAAAGGAGCAAGGTAACCATGCCTTCCAGGTGTGGGCACCTGGCAGGTGATATGATGACATCATAAGTTGCTAGGCAATCCACAAGCAGGTTCCTAGATACTAACACCCACCTACCATGGAGCATGAAGTTACAGCAGATTTAAGCCATCTTCTCCCTCTGAGGTCAAACAAGGCAGCCGAGCCAGGAGAAAGAGGCAGGTAACAGAATCAGGAACAGCCCCTACTCCAATTGTCGGGGACCCACATTTGACCAAGCTGTACATCTGCTACATATGTGTATGGGTTTCAGATCCATCCCATGCATTCTATTTGGTTGGTGGTTCAGTGTTTGAGAGCCCCCATAGACCTAGGTTAGTTTCCTCTGTGGTGTCCTTGACCCCTCCTGTTCCCTCAATTCTTCCTCTCAATCTTCTCCAAGACTCCCTGAGCCCTATCTACTGTTTGGCTATGAGTCTCTGCATATGTTTCCATCAGCTGTTGGATGAAACCTCTCAGAGGACAGTCATGCTATGCTCCTGTCTGAAAGCATAGCAGCAAATATCATTAATCATGCCAAGGGTTGGCTCTCTCCCATGGGATGTGTCTCAAATTGGGCCTTTATGGGTAGGTTGGTGTCCTTCTCCCTCTACTGGACATGCTGTCTGACTTCAAAAGGAGGTGACTTTACAATACCTATCTGCTGCAGCTAGAAGTCTCATTTAGGGTCAGCCACCTATAATTCTGCGAGCCTCCCTTCTTCCAGAAATCCCACCCCATTTCTGTTCTCTCTCTCTCAGTTCTCTCTTCCCCTCACTACACACTTGATCCCTACCCCTGTTCCCATCCCTACCCCTTTTACCACCCAGATTTCCCTCTCCATCTAATTCAGATGTCTATTTTATTTTCCCTTCTGAGAGATTCAAGCATCCTCCTTTAGCCTCTCTTTGCTCCTTGGCTTCTTTGGGGCTGTGGATTATAGTATGGTTGTCCTGTACTGCTGGAGCCTGCAAGCAAAGATGAACAGTTCTTGAGTGGGGAGTAGGATTGAAATAAAGAAAAAAAAAAACCCAAGACACAACACATGAGATCTGTTAGAGAGAGCTTCTGGTAGCAACTAGGCACTCGGTTTATTCCACAGCCCCTTTTTCTAGACAGAGCAAAGCACTTTGATACAATAAAGTTCATTGAAAAGTCAAAATTGTTTACCTAGACCACCTGTCTGTGTGATCCTCACACAAACAAAAGGAAATGAACTTGGCAAAAACATCCTGCCTATTGTCTCAAACAAAAGGAAGTGAACTTGCCAAAACATCCTGCCTGATCCAGGTGAAGGCCAGGGTGAAAATGTGATTTATTATATATATATATTGCTAAGAGCCTAATAAGAAAGCATCTTATGTACTATATATCATATGTACTATATGGCTAATATAAACTCATAAATGAGTACATACTGTGATCATCTTTTTGGGTCTGGTTATATCACCCAGGATAATATTCTAATTCCATCCATTTGCCTGCAAATCATGTTCTTGTTTGTAATAGCTGAGTAGTATTCCATTGTATAAATGTACAATAGTTTCTGTATCTATTATTCAGTTGAGGGACATCTTGGTTGTTTCCAGTTTCTGGCTATTATGAAGAAAGCTACTATAAACATGGTTGAGCTGTCCTTGTGCTATGATGAAGCATCATTTAGGTATATGCCCAGGAGTAGTATAACTGAGCCTTGAGGTAGAACTATTTACAATTTTCTGAGAAACTGCCAGATTTATTTTAAAATTTATACTTTTTAGGCAATGTTATAGAGTCTGGAAAATGTATTTGCCTAAACATGACAGCAATCAGGCCCTTTGATAATTTTTGAAGGCAGCTTAAATGAAGCATGAGTGAGTGCTGAAAGATGTGTGAACTCTGCTTCTACTGCCAGCCAAATCTGTGAGATTTGAGACCTGCTTTAGACCATAGCAAAATAAATAAATAAATAAATAAATAAATAAATAAATAAATAAAAATAAAAATAAAAATAAAAAAAAATTGCAAAGCTTCATTTTCTCCTCGGAACAATTCTTCTGCAATTTCAAATAATATTCCAGCTATCCCCCGAAGAACTAAATCTCAAAGTTATTTAAATAAAGATAGACTACTAATTAATGAAGACCTGGTCCTCTCTTTTCATTGCAGCTCCAAGTGAAAAACATGGAAAAGCAAGTATGTTGAACAAAGCTTGATAAGAAGAGCATGTTTTAGCAGCCTAATCATGTTTGTTTCTTTGGGCCTTGTTAACACTGATTTGGGAATCCCACCTGTCCACGTTTGTATATGATTGTTTTGGTGAAATAACATGCAAAATAACTTGCCTGCCTTTTTGTGTGTTTGTTCTTATGAAAATTTGTCTAGAGAGCTTTAATATGTGAGTTTTCAGTTACTTATATAAAAAAATTCTATATTCAGTTGCTTGTTTTTCCACATAATTAGAAGTAGTTTTATTTTCTTATGCATTTCCTAATTATTTAAGGATCCCAATGATTAATTACTTGACCAAACTACTGAACAATGTAATTTGTCTACTATGAAAGTTTCGTTTGCAATGAAATGTTGTCATCCTAAAACTTTATTAAAATTTCTTTTGTAGAGTTTCAATTCTTTTTTAATGTTTATATCCTCAGATTATGAACTTTTCTGATAACTGATAAGTTATGACAGATACATCAATGGCAGCTCTTATAACATGTTTAAGGAGAAATGCTGCTTTGTTGTTTATTATTTTTAAATTAATAAAATATAGTTATAATACTGTTAATAAATACTTTTATTAATAAATGTTAAGTGCAATAACAAGAATAAATAAAAACTTTCTTGTGCTTTATAAACAAGATTAATGGTATAATATAACCAGCATTCACTATAGAAAGCATTTATATATTTGTTCTGAGTTAAAGGTACATGCATATTGATCCTAGTGCTGATATATAAAGGAATCCTATGTTTTATTTTTTAAACAGTATGTTATTGACATATATCAAAGAATAATTGGAAAATATTAGGTAGCTTGATATCATTTAAGAAGTAGAACACTGTGGTTGCAATTGTTCAAAAAGACATTAAAATCTTGGAGACCTTAAAAAAATGATAAGAATACTTGTTGCTCTTCAAGTCTTCTATAAGACTGGAGTTCTTGAGATCTCAATTGAAATCCATCAATCCATGATGGATCCCAATTGCCTGTAACTCCAGCTCTAGGACTCTAGGACATCCAATTCCAATGTCCTCTCCTCTCCTGCCATGACTGGGCATCCCAAACAATGAACACACACACATACACACACGCACGCACACACACACAACCTTAAAAATAAAGAAGTAGTTTTTAGGACCTATAATTTTGTTTATATTTTCACACAAAGTTGGAGCTTAAAGTTGAATGTAAGGCTGACTCAGAGTTTGTGTTACAAATTGTTGAATATGCTAAGCCATGGAAATGCATAATCAAGAGAATGCACAGAGTGAAACAATTTTGTATCACTCGTAGAAAACCTTAGATTGCAAATTACTCTGAAAATTAACATTTCTCATGAGGAAATATGACACATAGTTAAAAATTCATCCACAAGAAAAAACTTAGAATTATGTCTATCAGTATAACACTGTTCAATCACATTTTGAAGAAATAAGCAATTTTTTTGTGATATATTTATTTATATTACTTATTATTTATTACAATTTATTCACTTTGTAACCAGGCTGTTGCCCCCTTTTTCATCTTCTCCCAGAGCCACCCTCGCTCCTGATTTTCCTCCTATACCTCTCCCTTAGTCCACGATAGGGGAGGTCTTCCTCCTGTACTATCTGACCCTAGCTTATCAGGTCTCATCAGGACTGGCTGTATACCCAAACTTTAGGCAGAGTGTAGGGAATCTAATGGAAGAAGGGAAAGAAAGACCTGGAGGGTTCAGAAGCTCTACAAGGAGACCAACAGAGCCAATACATTGGGGCTATGGGGGCCTTGAAGAGACTGGTGCTCCAACCAAGGACCATGCACGGAAAGGTTCTAGACCTGCTGCTCAAATGTAGTACATAGGCAACTCAGTCTTCATGTGGGTTCCCTAATAAAGGAGCTGGGGTTATCTCTGATATGGACTCAGTGGCCATCCTTGAGTGGCCACAGAAGAAGATGATAAGCATCTTTTGAAGTAAACTAGCTTCTCAAATATTGAAATCAAATATAATATTTAAATCATAGCATTCAACTCCTTATGTGATTGAGACCTTTGAAATTAAACATGAATATTATTCTTTACTACAAAATTAATTTAAAGTGTTTCATAAGCCCTTGATTCTTTAAATTATCTAATATTAGTATGATTTCCCATTTATTTAGGAACTGGCCTTTTTGATATTGAAATAACATAACATAATTTTTACACAGTTTTTATAGACCATCAACAACTCTAAGATTAATGCCTAAGATCAAAGTTACATGTTATGGATATTTTGAAAAATTCTTTAACTTGTGCAAGTTGTAGGTATTACCTTAATATATGGAATATGGTTCTCTATTATTTTAAACCATATGGTATTTTTATATATAGATAGATAAATGAACACAAAATAAGTATGTACGTAAATCAATGTGATGGCAATGGCACTAGATTTAAAAAGTGAGGTTGACAGGTGAAGAAAAATTCGTGGAAAATTATTTTTTCATTATCACTGTATCGTAGCTAGAAAATACATTGAGTTATTAGGGAGGAACCATTTACCTCAGCTCCTACATAATTAATAATAATAAATAATAATTAATACAAAAAACACCTATCAATTTGAAGTAAAGGTTCTCATGGATACTATGAACTTGGCAAAAAAAAAAAAAAAACCTTCCACGTTTTAATGACCCAGTTATAATAAAAGGTTCTTGATTCACCTACAGTATCATGGGTTAAAGTTGAAGAGTGTCTTGAATAAGACAAAAAAGCCAAACCTAGATTTAGAATTTCTGCGAGCTGATTTTTTTCTGTCCAAGCACAAGCCAAAAATGTCTCCAAACACCCATTTCTCACCCCTTGCAGTCATTGGAATGTATGTATTACTTTTAAAGTTGGATATAAGGGTCCTGAGCTTGACAATATGATTAGTTATATCTAAGTAGGGAGCTGACAAAACAGATGGGGCTTTAGAGTGTAGATTACATAACACATGTAACACTATTCATAGTGAATCTTCAAAAGGGCACTATCGTCACACTACTTATTAAAAGATATGGTAGCACCTCTCAACTTAACTGTGAATAATCACACTCAACATCAGTGCTTTGAAGGCACTTAGAAACACTGCTGCAGTTGATTCTTCCCATGTTGAGTAATTCCTGGTTTAGATAACATAGATCACATTATCTGCAACTGTTCTCTGGTCAATTGAGTTGTGAACAAAATATTCACTTAAGACAAGACAAAAATAAAAAATTTGTCTATATAAATTTATTTGAAATGCCAGCAAATGCTGTTCATCTCATGTTAGCACTGCACATAGTTTTACATACTAAGCCAACAAGCATAAGTTGATCAGTCTAACCACTTCAGTGTCACAATATGTGGAGCTGCAATCTCCTCCTCTACCCCAGAATTATTTGCAAGCAGCCAGTATCAGAATCCGAAGAGTAAGAAATTTTGAATTTAGGTATTTATCATTGAAAGAGCAGAGGCATTTTATACCAAGAGAATGGAGCATCATTTGAATACCACTGGAGAAAAAAATAAGGAATATAGTCTTATCTTGGTGTGGTAACTTAGTGATTGTAGAGTCTTCTGCAGTAATGATGGTTTCATAAAATAGTTATGTTTCTAGTACCAGACATGGTATCCCTCTTGTAAAAAGGGTATTATGTCTAACTAGAGAGCCATTGGCTACCACCAACATATGTGTGCTAATACTGCACCTGTAGGGTGCCATGTTGGTCATTGATATGATTTACAGGCATCATAGCTGGGTGGAACTATAGATTGCTTCTGTTTTGGAAGCTTGCATGGTGCCTTCTAAAAGTGAAATCTAGACTTCAAGGAGAGAGCATTCAGGAACATCCTAACTCTGGGACCTCTGGACATTCTCTGAAGTGCATAGTTTCTTCAGCAATAGTGACTTACCTTCCACTTCTGGGTAGCAGCCAATGGCAAGAGCAATAAGTTGTATGTTTTGGGAAGATCTTTGGTAGCTCTCGCCAACAACTCAAAAGAGGGCTTCTCACATCTAGTGTTTAGCTTTGTGTTAGGTGATATTTGGCTCCAGAGAGAGGGCCATCAGCCCAATGAGAAAAGTTCTCTAAAATATGTATATGGATAAATATAAAGGCATTTTTATGTCACAACAAGACCTTTAAAACTCTATGGAAAAATCTAATCTGGAAAATTTAAAAGCTTATGTACTTTATTACACTAAAATTAAGATCTTTATCAATAGATACCATAAAAGTGGGTAGTAATATACAAATGCCAATAAAACTAAAAGTGTAAAAATATGGTAATAAAGAACAACTTCAAATAATTAACTGTTGATAAAATGAGAGAGAAATAATTGCAAAGATTTGATACCTTGCTATTGTTTTGTTCCTACCCCACCCCCTGCATACCTTAGAAAACTTTATCCATTTGTGCTTCGAAATGAAATATTTTGTTCTGGGTTCAGCATTCCATATTGTATCTTTAGTCTAGCTTTCTTATTTTCCTAACTAAATACTCATATAAGCACATCCCCATAGCTAAGTTTTTGCCATTTCAATTGCTATTATTTCTTGAAGCAGCAATGGAGTCAATTTCTTTATTATAATGACTAATATTTTACAGTGCTTACACCAGGTAAAATATTTGTCACCATCTACATAGCTAAAGACTGAACGAAGGCTTTTACACTATCATTCATAAGTCACTTAAACTGTCCCTGTATACATAGCACATTAATATCTATTTTTGTGTGTAATAAGCCACATTATCAGCACTACTTACATAAAAATACAATTATGATATCACAGAGTTATACCTTAGAAGATAGTTTACATAGTTAATTTATCAAAAACCAAAGTGCTACAAGTGTTTTGTACTTCGGCTTTCTGTGCAGCTTGCTTCTCTTTCTCAGACTCTATATGCACTTAATGTTTTGGTTATCTGTGCTCTGCCTGGCTACAACAGTACCATATGTTATTGTTCTGAAAACTCTGATGT